ATGAAGGAAATTAACACAGGGAGACATGCTAGCAAGTGACCAAGGGGGAATATTCAGACAGGGCAATCAGGAAGGGCTGCCCTGTGGAGGTGAACTTTGAGCAGAAACCTGAATGATGAGGAGGAGTGGGCCGTGAATAAAGACCACCCCTTGAAGCCATGCCAGGACTGGAAAGACCTAGCCCAGGGTGGGGCACTCATGTTTGTCTTACCCATGTTCATTCTCGCTTCTGTCCTCAAACGTGCTGAGACAACCAAGGCTGGTGGGGCCCCTGCAATCAGGGCAGTGGGAGCAGCGGGAAGCAGACCCGTTGGGGAAATCTGACCAGACATTCAGCCCAGAAGGTGGTATTGGGGTTTCATTCCACATAATCAAGAAGTCGAAACCGAGAGGCTCCTGATGAGGGCCTGTTGAGGGCAGGACCAGGTGGCAGAGCTGCCAGATTCCCGGCCAGAGCAGCAGAAGACCAAATGAACTGGCTGAGGAGGCAGAAAGCCTAGAGGAAAACTCAAGAAAAGTTCAGAGGGCACGAAACAGCTAGGAACAACCACAGGGGTATTTTCGTAGGCACTGTACTTATTGATACCCTCCCTCCTCCCCCTCCTGCCCCTGCCCCTCCTGCTCCTTCTCCTCTCTCCCCCCTCCTTCCCCTCTTCCCACCCCTCTCTCTCCTCTCCCTCCTCTCCCCTCCTGCCCCTCCCGCCCTTCCCCCTCCTGCCCCTCCCCCTCCCCCCTCTCCCTCCCCCTCCTCTTCCTCCTGCCCCAGTCCTCCTGCTCCTCTTCCTTCTCTTCTCTCTCCCTCTCTGATTATTGGGGGATGATTGCTCACAGAAACTAGCCTGACCACCCCCAACACCCCAAGCCACAGAAGGGAGACTTGGAGAAGGGACCCTAGGGAAGTGTAGTCCTAAAAAGAGACCCTTTGCCCCCAAGTAGTAGATTACAGATGGCGGCAGCGAACTCTGCTAGCCCTTGAGAGGTGGTGATGATTAGTTTTTTGTGTCAGCTAGACTAGGCTATGGTACCCACTGTTAAACACTTATCAGGTGTTGCGGTGAGGTGTTTTGTACATGGGGTTAACACCTACAATCAGTTGACTTTAAGTAAAGGAGTAAATCACACCAAGTCACTGTAAATGGGCTTCATGCAGCCAGTTGAAAGGTCTTAAAAGCAGAAACTGAGGTTTCCCAGAGAAGAAATTCTGCCCTGAGACCACAGCATCTACTCCTGCCTGAGTTCTCAGCCTGCTGGCCTGCTGGCTTACAGATTTCAGACTGGCCAGCTCCCCAGTCGCATGAGCCAACGGCTTAAGATAAATCTTCATATGTACATATATGTGTGTATATTTTTATCTTAAGATATATATATCTTGGGGAGCCTGGGTGGCTCAGTCGTTAAGCGTCTGCCTTCGGCTCAGGTCATGATCCCAGGGTCCTGGGATCGAGCCCCGCTTCGGGCTCCCTGCTCAGCATGAAGCCTGCTTCTCCCTCTCCCACTCCCCCTGCTTGTGTTCCCTCTCTGGCTGTCTCTCTCTCTGTCAGATAAATTTAAAAATCTTAAAAAAATTTAAAAAAGATATATATGTCTTAAAAGAAAGAAATCTTAAGATAGAAATTTATATATAATCTTTATATCACATATAGATCTTAGGATAAATACACAGTATATAGATAGATGATAGTTGTAGATGGATGAATGGATAGATAGACAGATGATGATAGATAATGAATAAGTGATAGAGAGAGCTCAATGCTATTAGTTCTGTTTCCCTGGAGAACCCTGACTGATACAGAGGTAAAGTATCATTCCTTTCTCCTTGAACCCTGGCTGTCCTCTGTGACTCCAGGGACTTGCAAATCTAGGTTGTAGGAAGACTTGTGACTTTCTTCCAGCCCCTTGGAACACATCTGCTTGGATTCAGCTGCCATGTTAAAAGGAAGCCCACACAACTCCCTGGAGAGGCCCCACGTTGAGAGGAACTAAGGACCCCAGTCAACAGTCAGCACCAAATTGCCAGCCACGAGAGTGAGCCACCTTGGATGTGGATTTTCTAGCCTCAGAAGAGCTGCCCCAGCTGACACCGCATTGAGTAGAGAAAACTGCCCCAGTTTTCTGTCCAAATCATAGCGAGCAAACTAAAGTTTGCCAGTTTCAGCTACTAAACTTCCTGGCTGTTTGTTATACAATAACAACTAACTAGAACAAATACATTTCCCAACATTGGAAGTCCTTTTAATAAATGGTCATGTGTGCAAAAATGTTTGTATGTACATTGAAAAATGTTCACATATGCGATTTTTTTCAAACTGACCAAAAAAAAAAAATCACACCAAACTGCTGGGCTGGGGGTAGAGAGCAGAAGCCACTATGGGAAAATTTCCTTTTTAAATGTCTATACTTGCATAAACAAAAGCATGATTCCATTTCTACACTTGCATTTTTTTAACCTCAAGCCAATGTAATATTTGAAAAGAGAGGATTTAAATGAATAAAGTACTTATGACAACCTACCCTGGCTCACAGTCAGTACCAAGAATGTGTTTGCCATTATTTCCCTTATTTTATAACAGAACGAGGACATGAGCACCAGCCAGGAGCCTTGAGTGTCTCTCGTGCACATATCAGGGACTTAACTGGTTGTGAATGCCCGCCCCCCACCCCAATTCATTCCCTTGGTCCTTAGCAAGGAGGAAGCTCTTCGGGGGGGAGCAAGTGCCAGGGTCAGATGGCCCATGGTCAAAGCTCACCTTTGCCACTCTCCAGGTGTGTGACCTTGGGCGAGTGACTTGCCCTGTCTGAGCCTCAGGTTCCTTCTTGGTAAAAAATGGCATAGTAATAGGCTTGTGAGGATTGGAGGAGTGACTTGTGTGTCTTGATTTGGTTTTCCCAGAAGTAGACTCTAATGCAAGGCTTCAAGTACAAAAACAAAAACTGTATTCTGAGACAGGAATTCAACTGCAAATTGTTCCTTTGGGAAGTGACCCCAGGAGATGCCAGTAGGGCAGTGAGACGGAGTGAGACAGAGAAGAAAAGGCAGCAGGGAAATGGGGCTTTGTCAAAGAAGTTCCCACTTGGGGCAGCTGGCGCTCAGTCCTTCTGGGGATCTCTGGGAGACAGCAGAGAACAGGAGCCCACCAGTCATTACTCAGGGCCAGGGCCAAGGGCATTATTTCTCCAGAATGTCCTGCCGGCCGCAACAGGGTGGAGTTTGGACAGTGGCCTGATGTGGACACTTACAGTTGTTCAGTGAGTGAGGGAGAGGTTCTCCCTCCTCTCCTCCCAATACACCCACACACAGTCTCACACACACACTCTCACTCATAGATACATACATGTATACTCACAAACGCACACATGTGTGCACACACAATCTCATGCACACATGTACTCACACAGTGCACCCACACTCCACAGTTGCACACGTACACACACTCACATGCATGTATGGTCACTCACGTGCACACATCCACACACTTACTCACACACATGTGCACATACCCATGCAGTCACATGCACACACCCTCATACACACATTGGACTAATGGAGACCAGACGCCGTAGAGTTGGTTGTCCCTCAGCCGTCCAGCAGAGGGAGCCTCCGACACACTCAGGAGAGGAAGGAGACCCACAGCAACCAGTGACTGGCCCAGGCCTGCGTGTGTCTGGAGAATCGGACACGCAGATGCAGCAGGTCCCGGGGATCCACGGGCCCCATGCCTCCCCTCCTCCCTCCCTCATTCACTCACCATCACCGACCTTAGCGGAAAGTTAATATGCATGAGAAGCATGATGAAAAATCCACCTGGCAAAGGAGAACCGAAGTGCAGAAAGGGCCAGTCACGTGCCCAAGGTCACCGCTAGAAAGGGGCCAGAGCTGGGGTTTGAACCCACATATGTCGCCTCCCAAGACCAAGTTTGTTTTGCTGGAGGGCTGGGGGATTCCCCGATCCCAGCACGCGCCGCCCGGGGGCGCCGCAGGACACACACCGCTGTGGCCTCTAGCACCACGCCTCCTGGCTTTGACTTCTCTCCACGCCCCCGCACCCACCCCGCTCCACCCACGCCTGCCGACACCCCCTTAAGGCAAAGTGAGGCGAGGGTCCCAGACCAGCACTAGAAGCCTGGGGGTGTAAGCCACCCCTCTGAGGCCACGTTATGAGGACACTGTTGGACCTTGGGTGAATCATCTCACTCTAGGGAACTTCGTTTCCACCCCCATTAAAAGAGGTAATGACAGTACCCATATCATAATAACAGTACCGGTGAGAATTACGTGCGAATATTTGGAGGGCACAAAGGAAGCTCTCAACCAACTTTAAATCTCATTATGGTTATATCAACTTTGGAGACCCCGAGGGCTGGGTCCTGAAACCCCTCCATCTTGGACGCACACGGGTGTACCCAGAAGAGGGCACGCGCGCACGCGCGCGCGCACACACACACACACACACACACACACACACACAGGGACTGCACTAATCTTGGGGCTTTTTAAACAATCATCTAGGGCACCTGGGTGGCTCAGTTGGTTAAGCGACTGCCTTCGGCTCAGGTCATGATCCTGGAGTCCCTGGATCGAGCCCAGCATCGGGCTCCCTGCTCAGCAGGGAGTCTGCTGCGCCCTCTGACCCTCCCCCCTCTCATGCGCTCTCTCTCTCAAATAAATAAATAAAATCTTAAAACAAAAACAAAAACAATCATCTAAGTGCTGAGGTATTCCAAACTTATATCACCAGCCCGGAACTCCCTCCCGAATTCAAGACCTGCCTATCCAACTGCCTGCTTGACATCTCCAACTACTCCTGGCCTAAACTGACATGCTGATCTCAGTCCCTCACCCCCCCCCCAAAAAAAACCTTACTCTATTAAGCATTCTCCATCTCAAGGTGTCACTTCTATCTTTCCAGGGGCTCAGATCCAAACTCGGGGTCCTCCCTTTCTCCTGAACCCCTCATTCAAAGTATCAGCAAACCTGCCAGCTCTACCTTCATAAAGCACCCTGTCATCAGAACCCAAGCACCTGTCTTCACTCTACAGCCCCCAGCTTGCTTGGAGCCATTGTCATCTCTCACCTAGACAAATCTGGTCACCCCATCTGATCTCCCTAGTCCCATCTTCACTTCACAGTCTCTATTCAACATAGCAAGCAAAGACTGTATGACAAATTTTGTACCTCCTCTGCCCAGAACCCTCCATGGCTCCCTATTTCTGTCACAATACAATCAGTGGACTGCAAGGCTCTGTGTGACCTGCTTCCATCCCCTGCCTGCCCTCATCTCTTTTCATGCTCCTCCTCCAGCCACACTGATCTCCTCAATGCCCCCTAAACACCCCAAGCTTGTTCCTACCTCAGGGCCTTTGCATTGTTTCTCTCTACCTCGAACATTCTTCTAAATATCCACATGCCTCCTGCCCTCTCCTATCTAAAGTTTGTTGAAATGACCCCTTCTCAGTGAGGGTTTCACTGATGATTGAACAACCTCTCCCCCCACCAGCATTACTGAACACCCCCCAACACTTACCCAGCTCAATTTTTTCATAACACGTATCACTTCTCTCACACAGGCCAATGCAGTTACCCCATCTGGTCTCCCTAATCTGACCCTTGCTTTTCCACTTAGCCAAAAGAATACTATAAAGACCAAATGACAAATCTTTTGCTCTGCTCAGAACCCTCCCATGGCTCCCCATTTCTGTCACAATAAAAGTCAAAATCCTCCAAGGGCCTGTGTGAATTTACTTATTTGCTTATTTTTTATCCGTCATCTGTTAACAACCCCCCCACCTCCACAGCAAATGTCAATTATGTAAGGGCTCAAATACGGCCTGGCTCACAGCAGATGCTCAATAAATATTTGATGAATTAATACAATTATTGTAGATACCATCACCACCCCATCTTCTGCATCATCGTGTCAGGGACTATGCCGTCATCAGTTCCCCCAGCCAGAGACCTGGGAATCACCCCTACCTCCTCCCTCACCTCAGCCCTGCAGCTAGTCACCCCTCCTGTCCTGCACACCTCAGTCTCCCTCTTCCCCAGATTTCCAGTCCCCAGTGCCCCCCTTCCAAGCCACCTCCCTGCCAGCCCACATCTGACCATGTCCTGTCCTGCCCCCTGCTCACATACCCTCTATAGCTCCCTATTGCCCTCACAATAAGGCCCTAAGTGAGATGTGGCCCGCAGTTCCTGGCAGTTGGCCCCTGACCAACCGTCCTCCATTCTGCCCCCCTCCTCTAGATCCAGCCACCCTGGAGTGGTGTTCCTCGAGAACACCACGCTCTCCCTCACCTGGGGACTTTTGCAGATGCTGTTCCTCCCGTCTGACATGCTCTTCTCTCCTTTGTCACAACTCAGCTTGTACCCTCACTTCAGCATCGGAGAAGCTCTCCCTGAGCCACCCCCTGTTGTGTTCGCAGAGCACCAGGGCTTCTCATTTGGAGCACTTGTCATGGATTATAAATAAACTTACATGTGGAATTATTTGTACAACATCTGTCCCCTGTTCTCCCGAGGACAGGAATTGGGCCCAGCTGTGCTCCTGGCCCAGTGCCAACGAACACTTAATTAATATGTGGTCTGTTGATGAAGTAAATGAATGCACAAACTGTCCCAAAAAGCCTGAGTTTATGTCTGAGGGCAAATGGCTTCCCAGCCTCCTAGCCCACAGCTTCCCTCAGTACCTCCCAATAGCCCAGGGACCTTCATTTCCTTCCTGGGCCCCAGGGGAAGTGTCTGGCTGAGCTAGGCGGTGAACGATGGGGGACGTCTGCATCCCTTGCTTTTATTCTACAAAAATCAGAACACTCAGCGAAGGGCCTTTCAGCAAGGGAGGAAGGAAGGGGCTTGTGAGGGAGGGTCTAGATTTACAAAACAGCAGAAGCACATATCCTGAGCCCTGGGATGCAGCCAGATGTCAGAGGAGTTCGCCCAAATGAGCTGGGAGCCTCAAGAAGGTGATGTCCGGGTTCAGGGCTCTAACTTCGGGCTCCAGTTCCCAAGTCCTCAACTTGGAAGCCAGCCGGAATCCACGGGGGACTGGTCCTGAATCCCAGAGGCCTTAGGTGTTGGGTCTTAAGTCCTTGGGTGGCTGGGTGGGTGGGGCCTGAGACCCTGAATGCTCTGGATCCTGGGAGGGGTCTGGGCCCAAGGGGATTTGGCCAAGCCTGATCCCTCAAGCTGGAGAGCCGGAACGGGCCCTCAGGGGACAGGACCTGGACCTCAAGGGGCAGGACCAGACCGCCAGGAGGCGGAGCCTTGTCGTGAGGGGCGTGGCTTGCACCATCAGGCTTCTCCGCCTAGGAGCCTGGTCTTCTAGGAGCCGAACGTGAACTTCGAGGGGCGTGGTTTCTGCCCTCAGGATCTTGGGGGCGGGGCCTGGTCCCTCGGGGGCGGGGCCTGGGCCTCTCCGGGCGGGGCTTGGGCCCCCGGGGTTCCGCAGGGAGGCGCCGGTGCTCAGGCCCGCGGAGGCAGCGGCTCCACGTTGAGCCAGATGCCGTTCTCCGTGCGCAGGATGAGCTCGGGCTTCCGCCGCACCTTGCGCGTTCGGTCCACGCTCAGGCGGAAGCGCAGCAGCGTCAGCGCCACGGCCACGCGCATCTCGGCCATGGCAAAGCTCTGTCCGATGCAGTTCCTAGAGGAAGGGGCACAGGTGTGGGGCTCAGGCTCAGCGGCTGTGTGAGCCAGGAAGGGGGGAGTCCCGGGGTAAATGACCTCCCCCTCTGAGCCTCAGTTCCTTCATCTATAAAATGGGGGCAGGGGCATCAGAGTCGTTGGGAGCATATGAGCCCAGAACTCAGGGCCTGGCACACAGTAGTTGATCAGTACCCAGGGATACTTTCACAGAGTCTGATTAGGGGACATCCTGGTAAACTGAAAGCATGAAGAGGGTGCCGGGGTTGGCAGAAAGCACATCTGGGTGGGAGGTGGTCTCTGCACATCCCTGACCTTCCACTGGCCTCGGTGACCCTCCTATGTTTGACTTGGACTGAGGGAAATAGAAGAATTACCTGGGTCCTGCGGAGAAAGGCACGTAGGCCAGTGGGGAGCGCTGCTGTGGGTTGTCCGGGTCAAAGCGATAGGGGTTGTACACCTAGGCGGGATTAGCCTGGGGGTGAGTCTGGGGGCCTGGCCCAACAGCTTGGCCCCCATCCTTCAGCTGGATAGAAAGAACCTCACTACAATCCAGCCACACCCTCTTTCTGTTATTCAAGCATGCCAGGCTCATTACAACCACAGGGCCTTTGCACTTCTTGTCTCCTCTGCCTGGAACAGGCTTCTCTCTGCTCTTCACACTTTTCAGGTCTCAGCTCAAATACCTCTTCCTCCTCAACGCCTTTCTTCACCACTTGAGATAAAGTGCCCCCCACCCCACTCCAGTTTTTATTTCCTTTGTGCATGTATCAATAACGACAATGATAGTTTTTGCTTATTTTCTTCCCCTGAACTTCACCATGAGCTCCATGAGAGCAAAGGCAGTAACTTTCTCTGTCCTCAGTGCCCAGCACAGAAGCTGGCACACAGGAGGTGTTCAATAAATATTTGTGGACCTAATGAATCAACAGTGGGTGAATGGATGGGGGAAGGGCACTCAAGCTCTATACCCAGCCAGGCCATCTGGGTCCCTGGGGAGCAGAGTAGGGAGGTCTCACGGCCCAGGACCACCCCTTCTGGGGAGGAAGAAGTTGAGGGAATGGAGAATTGAGGCAGGGGCTCACCTTGGAGTCAGGCCACACAGTGGGGTTGTGGTGGGTCCCATAGATGCTGACCAGGCAGATAATTCCTGTGGGGAGGGTGGGGTCAGTGGGGCCATTGGAGCTGAGGGGAACCAAGGCCTTCTCTGAATATCTCCTCCTTCCCTGCTCTTCCTGGAGCCATGCTGTTCCCATGAGCCATCTGCTACTCTTTCCTGCCCATCCTTCTCTGAAAAATTCTGCTGCTGTGTCCACTCCCCCTGCAGCTCCCTAAAGGGTCCCTTCACCTTTCTAGCTGCCATGCTGGCCACACAGGGATCTTTCTCACGCACATATCTGACATTGTTCCTCCTCAGCTCAAATACCTCCCTTGGCTCCCTACTATCCTGAAGATCAAGTTCAAATGCCTCAACCTAGCATTCAAGTTCTTTCACTACCTGTACCCTGAGACTCTGCTCCATAAATATGCTCTCTCTTTCACTTTCAACCTCCAAGGCTCATCTCTCATGTTGCCTCTTCTAAGCAGCCCTCCCTGCATTTCACCCCAGATAAAGTCATTGCTCCTTATTTTGGGCTGTTCCAGCCCCTGTTCCTCCCTTTAGCCCATCCTTAACCCCATGTGACTGGTATTTCTGTGCCCTGCTGTGTCTCCCTCAGATTGGGTGGTACTCAAGGCCTGGTTCTGGGAACGAGGCCTCTCTAGATCTCCAGCATCACTTGGGCTTAGTCTCCAAGGGGTATCTGGCAACTGAATGAAACCGTCCCTCCCCTACCTGCACCCTCACGGGGCCCATGCTGCCACACCCACTCTTGCCTCTCCACCCAAACTCACCCATCTCTGTCTCCCCCTGGGAGAGACGCTGGGTCTCCTCCCTCCTCCCTCCTCCCAGAAGCAAGAGCCACACAGAGAGATGCCCCATCTACAGGGAGGGTGCACCTGGGGCAGGCATGACCAGGCCCCCCCTAGGCAGCAGAGCAGCCCAGCGGCCAGGAGGACATCATGGGCACCTTTGGGGATGATGCGCCCATCTGGAAGCTTGATGTCCTCCGTGCAGCGGCGGGAGACCAAGGTCACTGGTGGGAACTGGCGTAGGCTCTCCTTGATGCACATGGTGGTGAAGGGCAGCTGAGTCAGGTCGTCCCTGGGGAGCATGGAACGTGGAATGGTGGGTGACTTGAGGCCAGGCCATAGCAAAAAACATCCCCTTCCCCAAACACATGCATGAACACACACACGCCCATGCACATGCACATGCATTCAGAAGCAACCACACAGGAAACCAGTCCAGGATCTCAGACTTGCCCCAGCTTCCCGCATTTGTAGTTGGGGCATGAGCATATCACTAATCCTCAGCATGCAAAATATCTGACCCTAAACCAATCAAAGCAGCACCAGCAGGCTTCTGCAGGCCCAGCATTAACCCTTTAACTGATGAATAATGTCAGAGGACAGCTGGGAGGGGTGCCAGGATAGGCAGGGGCGCCTGGGGCCACAGCAGTTTACCAGCCTGTATGGATCAATTTCAGTATTTAAAAACCCATACATCCTCTCCTTATGCTCTTATTAACTTTTTTCCACTGGACTCCAGGGCCCCAGATTGGATTAATTATAACCCTTGGTCCATGATCTGGATCACTTTCTTTCCCTTTCAAAGAAATTTTATGTCGCTACCTTAAAGGGCAAACAGCATGCCTGGGATAAAAGTGCCCATAACATAGACACCACTGGGAAAACAGAGGAGTTATTAAATTCTAGCTAGTCGTCAGAAACTGAGCCGTCTTATCCCTTCATTAAAAAAGCAGATTCAGGGGCGCCTGGGTGGCTCAGATGGTTAAGCGTCTGCCTTCGGCTCAGGTCATGATCCCAGGGTCCTGGGATCAAGTCCCGCATCGGGATCCTTGCTCAGCAGGGAGCCTGCTTCTCCCTCTGCCTGCCCCTCCCCTTGCTTGTGCTCTCTCTTTCTCTGATAAATAAATAAAATCTTTTTCAAAAGGCAGGGGGGCAGATTCGCAAGGAGTTCAAGATACAATGGCATCCAACTGAGAGTGTCTCCCTGACATCAAAATCTAAAAGGTGGGCACTGGGGCGCCTGGGTGGCTCAGTCGGTTAAGCGGCTGCTTTCGGCTCAGGTCATAATCCCAAGGTCCTGGGATCGAGCCCAGCATCGGGCTCCCTGCTCGGTGGGGAGCCTGCTTCTCCCTCTCCCTCTGCCTGCCTTTCTGCCTACCTGTTCTCTCTCTGTATCTCTCTGCCAAATAAATAAATAAAATCTTAAAATAAAATAAAATAAAAGGTGGGCACTGAACAGAAAAGAGCTTTCTTTCTCACTGTTGGATGCTATGTATTACTGTGTTTCCTTTGAGACATCCAGAATCAGCTCTACATGGCACATATCTAAAGTAAATTGGATTATTTTTCCCAATTCTTCACTCCCCCACCCACCTCACACCTGTGTTTGAATTATACACCCCGTGCGCTCTGCATGTGATTCTGCAGTGTCTTCTGCTCAGGTGAGTGGAATGTATGTCCTGTCCCATTCATGCTGGACTTGGCCCTGTGACTTGCTTTAGCTAAATGGAATGTTACAATGTAAGCAGAGGTTTTAAACTGTGGCTCTTTGTGCTTCGGGAATCTGCCTTGAGAAGAATGTGCCCAGGGTAGCTGCTGGTTCAAGGAGAATGAGGAGATATGTGGAACAGACCTGAACCCACACATCTGTTTGGACGCCACCCCACTCAACAACACCCAGCAGGAGCAAGAGTAATATACAGGCAAGAGCAAGAAATGTGTGCAGACCACAGAAAGAAATAAATGCAAGCTCTAGACTCAACCTGCCGCTACCATCCCCCCGACCCTAAACCGACCACTCCAGCTCTTCCAGCTCCCGGCCTTTCATGACTTCCTGGATCTCTTCCCGGCACTTCTCCTGGTACTCTGGATACTTGGCCAAGTTGAAGAGCACCCATGAGAGCCCACTGGATGTTGTGTCATGACCTGTAGGCAGAGGAGGAGCTAAAACAGAGGCTGCCTGAAGACAACGAAGATGCGATTTTCAGACAACGGGGTCCCTCCTGGCCTCCCCCAGCCTCACCCCACGTCCTCACCTTCAAACATAAAGGTGTCCGCCTCAGCTCGGATGTCCTCATCGGACAGTTCCTTCCCATCTTCATCCTGGGATGAGCCGGAGAGGACGCTCAGCCCACTTCATCCCACCCTCCACATCCCAGGGCTCCTCTGAAGTCAAGATATCGGCCCCTCTCTCAAGCCAAGCTGCAGGGGGAAGGATTCCAGGCAGACAGAGGTATGTAGCTTGTCTAAGAAAGATGGAAAGCGGGGCGCCTGGGTGGCTCAGATGGTTAAGCGTCTGCCTTCGGCTCAGGTCATGATCCCAGGGTCCTGGGATCGAGCCCCACATCGGGCTCCTGGCTCAGCGAGGAACCTGCTTCTCCCTCTCCCTCTGCCTCTCTCCCTGCTCATGCTCTCTCTCTCTCTCTCTCTCTCTCTCTCTCTCTCTCTCTGTATCTCTGTGTCTCAAATGAATAAATAAAATCTTTAAAAAAAAAAAAAGAAAGATGGAAAGCAGGAGGGAGAGTGAAAGACGAAGGGAAGAAGGGAGTTTGTGTTTCTTGAGTAGCTGCTAGCACCAGAGAGCCTGCTGGATGCCCAGCCATGATCTGCGATCACACCTCATGACCATCATGTCATAAATGGGGAAACTGAGGCTCAGAGGGGAGAGTCAGATGCCTAAGGTCAAGCATCCACTAAGCTGCAGGGCCAGAACTGGAACGCAGGACTGTCTGAATCCAGAACCCGAGCACTGCTCAGAAATTCCACAGAAGCAATGTCTGCAACTGCCACATTTCTTTAAAGTCTTGTCATTTCATCATCATAAGTCTGGTGGCAACATTGTGCCCCCCGCCCCCGCCTCCAGAACTCATACGGTAAAGTCGTAACCCCCCAGGAACTCAGCATGTGACCGTATTTGGAGACAGGGCCTTTAGAGAGGTAATTCAATTATAATGAGGTCCTTACGGTGGGCCCTAGCCCCACATGACTGGTGTCCCTAGAAGAAGAGGAAATTTACACAGAGTCCCAAGCAGAGGGAAGACAACGTGAAGACACATGAGAAGGTACCATATACAAGCCAGGGAGAGAGGCCTCAGAAGAAGCCAACCCGGTCAACACCTTGACCTCAGACTTTTAGCCCCCAGAACCTTGAGAAAATTAATTTCTGTGGTTTAACTCCCCCAGTCCATAGCACTTTGTTACGGCAACCCTAGCGAACTAAAACAGTAAGTCTTATGAGTGCTGCACCCGCCTGCATCCCAGATCTATGTTACTTTGGACCTTTATCATTTTATGTAGTCGGTGCAATTCTCGAGGAGGCCATCCGGGGCCGGGCTCCACCCTCCAGGGCCCAGCCTCACCCGCGCCAGGAGCAGCACATCGATGAAGTCCAAGGTCTTGCCCTGCTTGCCCTTCAGCCAGGCCTCAGCCCCCTGCTGGTGGAGTGCCCGCCGCCGCTCCTGGATGACGTCCGTGGTGAAGCGGTGCACGGTGTCACAAGCCTGCCGGAATCGCCGCCCGTCTGCCGTGAGGTAGTAGATGAAGTCTATGTGATGATGCAGACGATACTGGCGCTGGACCACCAGGGCACTCAGCTCAATGATGGCTGAGATGTAATCGCTCATCTTCCTGTGGGGGAGGTGGGGTGGGGGGAGAAGAGACATGAGCTCAGGCCTGGCCCCTAAGACAAGCTTCTCCTCCCCATGCAGAGGTAACAGAGAGAGGCCCTGTATAGACTAGATTTTCTTATTTTCTTGTATTCTTTATGCCCTGCCAGCCGAGGCCTTGGTAACTGGAGAGACAATGCCCCTCACAGAACCAGCCAGTTCTTAGAGACGGCCGATAATTCACCCAACAGCATGCCTTTCATATGAAAACCAAACAATCCAGAGCCCATACGCTGAAATTTATCAGGCGGAGCCTCTCTCTCCAGGCCTTAATCACCCCAGGGCCAGGTACTGGAGACAACTAGGGACAGCCCCTATCCTCCAGGGCCCTCTGAAGTTATTCAAACTAGCCAATCGTAAGCCTGCACCCTGCCATACTGTTCCTTCTCACGGAAACCACAAAAAAAGACTCCTGCCACGCTTTCTCCTGACTGACACGGTGCTTCCCTGTGTGGCCCTCAGTGATGTGGCATGCCCCCTCCTCTTGAGAACTGTAAGTAACAAACTATTTTTTAATGGCAATCATCTGATCTGTTGGCCTCATCATACCTGAATAAAACCAAAATCCAGGTACATTTTAAAACAGGCCCAAAGGGGAACCCTCCCACACTGTTGGTGGGAATGCAAGCTGGTGCATCCACTCTGGAAAACAGTATGGAGGTTCCTCAAAAAGTTGAAAATAGAGCTACCCTATGACCCAGCAATTGTACTACTGGGTATTTACCCCAAGGATACAAATGTAGTGATCTGAAGGGGTACGTGCACCCCAATGTTTATAGCAGCAATGTCCACAATAGCCAAACAGTGGAAAGAGCCAAGATGTCCATCAACAGATGAATGGATAAAGAAGATGTGGTATATATATACAATGGAATATTACGCAGCCATCAAAAATGAAATCTTGCCATTTGCAATGATATGGATGGAACTAGAGGGTATTATGCTAAGCGAAATAAGGCAATCAGAGAAAGACAATTATCATATGATCTCACTGATATGAGGAATTTGAGAAACAAGACAGAGGATCATAGGGGAAGGGAGGGAAAAATGAAAAAAGACAAAACCAGAGAGGGAGACAAACCATAAGAGACTCTTAATCTCAGGAAACAAACTGAGGGTTGCTGGAGTGGTGGGGGTGGGAGGGATGGGGTGGCTGGGTGATGGACATTGGGGAGGGTATGTGCTATGGTGAGCAATGTGAATTGTGTAAGACTGATGAATCACAGATCTGTACCCCTGAAACAAATAATACATAATATGTTAAATAAATAAATTAAATTAAATAAAACAGGCCCAAAGGATTAAGACTTCCAAATAGACATAACATCACTAAGACTAAATGCCTACAAGCCACAGAGTGGGAGAACTCCTATTCCTGATGGCAAACTTGTATCTAAAATATAGAAAGAGCTCTTAAAATGCAATAAGAGACAAATAACCAAATTTAAAAACAGGCAAAGCATACGAATAGACATTTCTCCAAAGAAGATATACAAATGGCCAAACAGTGCATGAAAAGATACTTAACAGCACTAGTCACTAGGGAAATGCAAATCAAAACCACAATGAGATGCCACTTCACCCTAACTAGGAATGGCTAGAACCAAAAAGACAGATAATAGCAAGTGTTTAAAAAAAAATAACAAGTGTTGGTAAGGGTGTGGAGAAATTGGAGTCCTCACACACTGCTGGTAGAAATATAAAATGCCACATCTACTTTGGGAAAAATGTCTAGCAGTTCCTCAAAACCTAAACAAAGATTATCACATAACCCAGCAATTCCACTCCTAGGTACAGACTTAAAAAATCGAAAACATCTGGGGAGGCGGAGCAAGATGGCGGAGGAGTAGGAGACCTAGATTTCGTCTGGTCTTAGGAATTCAGCTGAATAGGGATCAAACCATTCTGAACACCTACGAACTCAACAGGAGATCGAAGAGGAGAGTAGCAACCACTCTTGGAACAGAGAAGCGACCACTTACTGGAAGGTAGGACGTGCGGAGAAGTGAATCCGAGGCGATATTCGGGAGGATAGACGGTGGGGGAGGGGCCTCCGCCGGCCGCTTCTGGCAAGTGATAGAGCCGCGGAGCACAAAATCGGACCTTTTAGAAGTTGGCTCCGTGGAGGGACGTCGCTGCAGTGGCTAAGCGGGGGTGGAACCCTCCCGGGACAGTGTGGTCTCAGGACCCTTGGGGTCACAGAAAGACCGGGGGAGCCTGAGTGCGCCAGAGCTCCCAGGTATTGGAGCAGGGAAGCCGGCTGCAGAGACGGAGCCGAGGCGCGGGCTCTCAGCTCCGGGTTGCCATAAACTGTGATCCGCGGCCCAGTCGGGCCACTGCTCCTCCAGCAGGGACCCAACAAGCGGCAGAGCCGGAGAGACTCCCTTCCTCCCCCGGGAGGAGCGGTGCGGAAACGCACCGCAGGGATCTGCTGGGTTTGGAGACTCCACACGGGGTCGGGTGCCAGAGATAGCAACGCTCGGTCACAGGCCGGGTGAGCACGGAGTGCGGCCGGAGACCAGGGACAAGGGAGTGACTGCTTTTCTCTGGGGGTGCACTGAGGAGCGGGGCCCCAAGTTCTCGGCTCCTCCGGGTGGAGATTGGGAGGCCACCATTTTTGCCCTGGTCCTCCAAAGCTGTACCGAGAGCTTGCAGGGAACAAAAGCTCCTGAGAGCAAACCCGAGAAGCTTGCTTAGCCCGGACGGACAAGGGCGGGGCAATTCAGCCTCCGGCAAAGACATTTGGAAACCACAACAACAGGCCCCTCCCCCAGAAGATCAGCACGAACAGCCAGCAAGCCAAGACCAAGTTTACCGATCAAGGAGAACGGGAGAACTCCAGCGCTAGGGGAATACTGCACATAGAATTCATGGCTTTTTTTTTTACCATGATTCATTAGTTCATCAAAGTTAATTTTTGTTAACTGTTTTTTTTTTTTTACTTTTCTTTTTCACTTTTTCAACCAACATCTTATCAGTCCCTTTTTTTAAAAAAAAAACATTTTTTATTTTTCATTTTTAGAGTCATATTTTATCCCTTCATACTAGTTACCCTTATTTGTGGCATATATATATAAGTTGTTCTCTCTTTAAAATTTTGAGATACAGTTTCTTCTAACAGATCAAAATATACCCCAAATCACTAGTGTATGGCTTTGTTCTAGTCTCCTGCCTGATCACATTCTCTCCCTTTTTCCTTTTTTTTTCCTCCTTAAATCTTCTTCTTTCTTTTTTCAAACAACTTCTTATCTTATCAAGTCCTTTTATAAAATCTTTTATAATTTTCACCTTTATAGTCATCTTCCATCCCTTCATTGTATCAACCCTTATGTTGTACATATATGTCTTTCTTCCTTTAAAATTTTAGGAGGCACTTTTTTCTAACAGACCAAAATACGCCCAAAATCTAGTGTGTGGCACTGATCTTGCACTAGCCTGATCATATTTGATCATATTCTGCTTTTTTTGTATTGTTCTGTTTTTATCTTTTTTCTTTTTTTTTTTTCCTCTTTCTTTTTTCTTTCTTTCCCTTTCTTTTCCCCTGGTTTCAGATCTTTTCTGATTTGTATACAGTATATTTGCTGAGGACCTTGTTACCCTGTTAGCATTTTGTTCTCTCATTCATCTATTCTCCTCTGGACAAAATGACAAGATGAAAAAAATCACCTCAGCAAAAAGAACAAGAGGTAGTACCGTCGGCCAGGGACCTACTCAATACGGACATTAGTATGATGTCGGACCTAGAGTTCAGAATCATGACTTTAAAGATACTAGCTGGTTTTGAAAAAAGCGTGGAAGTTATTAGAGAAACCCTTTCTGGAGAAATAAAAGAACTAAAATCTAACCAAGTCGAAATCAAAAAGGCTACTGATGAGGTGCAATCAAAAATGGGGGCACTAACTGCTAGGATAAATGAGGCAGAAGAGAGAATCAGCGATAGGGAAGACCAAATGATGGAAAATAAAGAGGCTGAGAAAAAGAGGGAGAAACAACTACAGGATCACGAGGGCAGAATTCGAGAGATAAGTGATACGATAAGATGAAACAACATTAGAATAATTGGGATCCCAGAAGAAGAAGAGAGAGAGAGAGGGGCAGAAGGTATATTGGAGCAAATAATAGCAGAGAACTTCCCTAATGTGAGGAAGGAAACAGGCATCAAAATCCAGGAGGCACAGAGAACCCCTCTCAAAATCCATAATAATAGGTCAACACCCCGACATCTAATAGTAAAACTTACGAGTCTCAGAGACAAAGAGAAAATCCTAAAAGCAGCTCGGGTGAAGAGATATGTAACCTACAATGGTAGAAACATTAGATTGGCAACAGACCTATCCACAGAGACCTGGCAGGGCAGAAAGGACTGGCAAGATATCTTCAGAGCACTAAACGAGAAAAATATGAAGCCAAGAATACTATATCCAGCTAGGCTGTCATTGAAAGTAGAAGGAGAGATCAAAAGCTTCCAGAACAAACAAAAACTAAAGGAATTTGCAAACACGAAACCAGCCCTCCAAGAAATATTGAAAGGGGTCCTCTAAGCAAAGAGAGAGCCTAAAAGCAGCAAAGATCAGAAAGGAACACAGACAACATACAGTAACAGTCACCTTACAGGCAATACAATGGCACTAATTTCATACCTTTCAGTAGTTACCCTGAATGTAAATGGGCTAAATGCCCCAATCAAAAGACACAGGCTATCAGATTGGATTAAAAAACAAAACCCATCCATATGCTGTCTGCAAGAGACTCATTTTAGACCCAAAGACACCCCCAGATTGAAAGTGAGGGGGTGGAAAACCATTTACCATGCTAATGGACACCAAAAGAAAGCTGGGGTGGCAATCCTTATATCAGACAAACTAGATTTTAAAACAAAGACTGTAATAAGAGAGGAGGAAGGACACTCTATCCTACTTAAAGGGTCTATCCAACAAGAAGATCTAACAATTGTAAATATCT